ATTCACAGCTGGTCGGAAGAGAGAGACATCAACTGTGTCGTAATCAAAGTTCAGAAAGAAAGAAAAATGAGAGAAAAATGTTTGGTATTGTTGTAGAAATGAACTTCATAATAAAAACACATGGTTATTTATTTGTTTGTTTATAAATTTCTTTACTTTTATCTTCAGAATGTTGGTTAAGTATTTGGAAGATACAACGACAGTAGCTTAAAGTGGCTAAATCGACAGAAACAGCAACAACAACAACTGCAGCAACAACTGCAGCAACATCAACAACAACTGCAGCAACAACTGCAGCAACAACAACAACAACATCAACAACATCAACAACAACAACAACAACAGCAACAACAACAGCAACAACAACATCAACATCAACAACAACGACAACAACAACGACAACGACGACAACATGACAACGACAACAGCAACAACAACGACGACAACAACATGACAACGACAACAACACCAACAACAACAACAACACCAACAACAGCAACAACAACGACAACAACAACACGCTCCACAGCTAGCTGTTGTCAACCCGGTCGTTCCTTATTCCGGTCCTGATTGCGATCAGTGTACGACGACAGCTTGTGTTTTCACTCGGGACTCAACTTCACTGCCTCTCGGTGGCCATCCGGCCAAACTACAGTCTTCGACACGCCCTCGCAAACAGGTCTGGTCCAGTGTCGCGTTTACTCTGGCACTTCCACAGGCCAAAAGTAAAATACTGTCATTATCATCTGGGGGAAGCGAATCACTGGTTCACTGGTGACGACCGGTGTCTCCTGATTGGACGCCAACGTTCACCAAGTATAAAGTACAAATGTTTGGTGCGAATGAAGCGACTGTGGTAAAAACGACTTGAACGATTCCTGTAGCGTGTTCTACTGTAATACTCTAGGGTCAAGTACACGTTTCCATTACTGCAAAAAGACACTTTCACTGCACTGATTTGTGGAAGGACAGGAACTCCCCCACAGGGGACCGGCTCCTTTTCATCAACGCCCTCTTGTGGTGACCGGCGACCGTCGTAGGAAATATTCTTTCTACGAAGCCTTGAATCCTTGACTGCAGCCAGGATTCAAGGATATTTCTCTGTGGGTTTGGAATGCTGCCCCGTTTATGGCGGCACCTGTTGGAGGAGCAGATGAAATGACATCTTCCAGTCGCCCCACTGTCGTGTCTCCCTGGGTTCACCGGCCCACGTGTTGATCCTCCATCCTTCAAAATAAAGTTCCTGGAATGAGGGACCAAACAAACGGTTCCAGTTCACCAGACACTGTTCAAAACCTGAACAGTTCTGAACCCTAACACACAATCTCTATTTTAACTTTTCACTACTGGTGACACAGTGTAGCACGTGACCATCAACGGGCGGTCTGTGGGCCCACTCCGGCCCGCAGAACTATTCAATGCAGGACGTGACTGGATTTCAGAACATCCAGTGGTTCTACTAAAACAACAACAACTGTGACAACTGTGAAATCCCCCCCCCCCCCCCCCCCACCCTCCACCCCAGCAAACATCCCCCCCCCCCATATAACTGGTGAACCCTGGTGTAGCGGTTATCACACCTGCCTTACATGCCTGCCACACAGGAACCACGGGCCTAACGGCTCCTCCTGTGGCAGCCCATGTGGGTTGCAAACCTGTAGAAAACTGTCGACCTTTATGACCTTTTTTGTTGCTCATTTACGACCTTGACTCGTCACCGACCCAACTCTCCCTGTGCCTGTATTGTCTGTAGACATTGGCAGCCAACGTGGACCATTCACTCACTTCAGTTATGGACCTCAGACAGGTCCATCAACCATATGTTGGACATCACTGCACTGAGATGTTTCCACACAGTCTCCTGTTTCTCTGGAGTTCTCTGTTCCCAGGTGCTCAGAGCGGAACGCTGGGACCCTGG